TTTCTTTTATTTTTCAAAAAGAAGAGCAAATTTGGGGGGAGGTGTGGGCAGGGAGAAAAGTGCAACAATGAATGAATGAAAATCCAAAGTCTCTATAAACTTTCATTAAAATTAATTAAACAAAAAAAAAAACCACCCCCCCGCCATTGAGATTACTACAAATAAGTCTTGAGCAGCACCTGCTTTCCTTAGATGTCTCTTTGTTTTTAGATTAGTAGAATATTCTTTCTTTACCAATATGTAATTGTTATTATTCGGGGTGGGTTTTTTCCCCTCTTTCCTTTTAAAGAAGATCCAGTGTTTTTTCCAAACCGAAGATGAAGTTACTTCAAAGGGAATTTTGAGTGTGTTCACAGCAGGAGGCCTTGCTCCCAGTTTGGAAATCATAAATAGTACATATGCTGGCTTGTTCCATTTTAATTTGACTCTGGTAATTATATTTTCTTTTCTTCTGGGATATGTTATTAACAAAATGTATATTCTCATTTATGTGAATGTGATTTTTCAAAAGAGCTACTGTAATATCTATATATGTCTTGAACCAAAAAATGTAATACTTTGCTTTAAATGGTGTCTATTTTCAGAGACATTAAGAAAAGAAAAACATAGACTTTCTTACTCTTCATTAACCTATTTCCCATTTCCACTTCTCTTTGTTCCTCTCTGTAGAGATCATGTTGGCATCACAATGATTTCTTTTCAGCTTAAAGAACTGCCTTTAGATTTTAATAGCAATTTACTTTCAGAAACTTACATTGATAAATATTGCTTCTAACTGTTATATCTTACTCATTTATAAACAGGTAATAATTAAGACTGCTTGATATTAGTAAAAAGTAATGATTTTTATGGACCTCAAACCCATTGCATAATTATGTTGGTTTGGTTTCCTTTCTATTCAGGAATCTGAATAAAATCTACCTATGAAAGAAAAAAAAGAAGTATTATTAATAATACTGTTATGAACATCATGCACAAGGTTTTGCATATAAATAGGTTTTAGTGTTCCTTGTGTATACACATAGAAGTGGAATT